CACGAAGAAGAAGAAGAAGAAGAAGAAGAAGAAGAAGAAGAAGAAGAAGAAGAAGAAGAAGAAGAAGAAGAAGAAGAAGAAGAAGAAGAAGAAGAAGAGAAAGAAGAAAAAATGACTGTATATAGCGCTCAATCCCGATTAAAGTACACAGGCTCTGAGCGCTTTATAACACAATACAACCTTGTGTTCTGATAAAAAGAAAATATCTCTAAATATTCATCTAATTAATTCAAAAATAGAAATGACTTCAGTTGACATTTGAATGAATCAAAGGATTTGGTAAACTGCTTGGTAAAGCATTCCAGATCTAGGAACCTTGATATTCAAATGCCCTTTCACCCATTGTTTTATGTTTCATAGTAAATTGTAAAAGAATTATCTTTTTGTCAGCTCATGACCTTAAACTGCGAGTTGGAATGTACAGCCTCAACAGATTTGATAAATACGATGGTGCGTTATCATTCAAGTATTTGTGACATAGAGTGGCCCTTACTAAGTACTATGTAATTTTCAAACACAAAAATAGAATATTCCTTGGTTGATTTTATTGTTGTGTTTTCTGAACACAACTAAACATGTGATTAAAGTCATTCGGATGTGAGATATTTCAGATGTGATACATATTATTCAGCCAACGGTGGGTCCTTTCTGAGATAAGAAGAGCGTAAGGTTGAGTATTTAAAAAAAAAAAGCAACACCAAAATTCTCGGCCAAGGCATACATTTACCAAAGCTGTGTCATCGAATTCCTTGCTCATGTAAACAAAAAGTAAACGGTATGTCGCATTCAAATTATTTTCTTAGGCGATAGACCCCTAAAGTGGACACTATAAGACCAGGGAAAATGGTCCGTATTTTATGAGTCACTCAAGTGGCTAGTTGATCGAACTTAACCTGGCTTAAGGTACTTACACACTCGACCGACCTGATGGGTCTGCTTGTTAGGCTGGATAAGAATATGGGACTTATCCATGCATACCTGTACACAGGCGCGGTTCGTCCATAGAGCACGGTCGTGCAATGCTGCCCAAATTTTTTTAATGTTCTTTTACGAAAAGCACCCTCAAACATGAAATTTAAAAAGTCAGAAGCAAACAGTAGCCAAATATAATATCAAAACAAGGTCCTCGCTGGAGCTGTAACTGTCATGTCTGTGTCAAAAGCGCCCTAAAACATATAATATGCACTTTAACTAAAAGTAATAGAATATTAAACAGTGGCTATTTGACCTATAAATCGTTCTTTGGGATAACCCAAGCGATGACGACACTCGTAGCGAGTTTGGCGGTACATTAATATTAATAAGACGGCACATCTCAAATGTGCATCCATGAAACATAGCCCACAGCAGGAAGTCTAAAAATAAACGCGATAGCCTGTACACTATTCAATGCCAAAATTATGTGATCCCCGGAGCAATCCAGCGTAGTGCTCAAGTGAACTGTTATTGGTTCACTGTTTTGCCACTATTTTAAGTGACTCTGTGACCGTGACCTGAGGGAGGTGAACGTGACATACTTGAGTCACCGCCCTATGAGTTGTGCCTTTGAATGGTTTTGTAGTAGAGTGGGGAAAGTTATTACTTGAGTGTTCAGTTCCGATGCAGGATGAACGAAATTGATGTTTAACTAACAAACATATTTAGTTCTAGAAATCAAAGCGAATGAAAATAAAAGCACTAAGTCATCCCTCACTAACCAAAAGATCCTAAAATTATACACCATCCCGTTTACGATGCCCTTGACTATCTTCAGCCTAAGATAGCTTAATTGTGCACGCCCACTTTATTGCCCCACGAACCGCCCCTGCCTGTACATCAATATAAAACGGAATCAATAAGAGTAAGTCTAAATATCTGACACATTAATAAAAACAGATTGTTCCGCTTCATTTTGACTCACACCGCTGCGGACGGTTGAGGTGCACAGGTAGTTGGTCCTATTTTTAAAAAATAAAATAAAATAAAATAAAAAAATTGCCAGTCTTTCTGTGCACATCTTAATTTTTCTGTAACACTCTATGGCTGTTATCATGTCCGTGTGTTTCTCTTTACTGACACAAAAGCTCATATCTTTGCTTTACTCTAGCCACTTAGCTTTCTTGTCTTTTCAAATAAAAGAGGGGGGAAACCTTTACCGTCCTGGTACTTTTTCTACAAAACGTCAACTCCTTAAGGACGCAGTGGACAAATATCTTGTCCCATCAGTAGAAGACCGAAGACAACGTTGAGGGACATTTCGAACCATCCTATGCAAATCAGAAACACGAAGTTATGTGATTGTACGTACAATGGAAAGAAAATATCTGAATATCAGTTACATTGGACTTTT